TTATATTTCCAAAAGCATATAAATAGATGCATCATAAGATACGATAGCTGTCAGTTTTGTTATCATAAATTATGGTATTTGAACACGGAGAAACTGCTCTAGTTGAAAAAGTAACAAAGAACATTGGAAAACCCTTCAGTGAATAATATATTCAAACCTGGCAATTGTTAATATAGCTAATATGATTTTTATAGTAAATTAAGAAATTATCTTTGTACAAATATCATTCTGGGTAGAAATGGATGTTTATAATATTTGTATTTTTTTTTCTCATGAATGTAGACTTTAATGTTTAAGACTCTTTCTCCTCTTCCCCCCTCCACCATTTTCTTTTGCTTTTGTTTTTGTTGCTGATTCATTTTCTTTTTAACTACATTTTTTAAAACATTGTCTTGTTCCAATTACATCATCATACAATTTTCTGCTTACCTTAGTAATCTGCTTGCGGAAGTAGGGCATCTTTTTCATAAGCTGGGCCAGATTATTTAATGATATCTGGAAAAATCATTTGTAAACTCAATTCAAATATTTAATATTTCTTCTTTTCCTTTAATTTTTTTCATCCGAAGACTAGGAAATATAATTATCACTGAGTACAAGAAAATTAGTAAGATTACAATCCTTTAGACAAACTAACAATATTCCCAGAGGGCTTTGTTTGACTATACGCCTACCAAGGATTTTTTATCATTTATCTAAATAGTTAAGTATTAAAGGCATTTTATACATTTGAAAAGAAATCCCAGAATATCTGCATTTCAGTAATTCTCATTTCCAAGTCTGTTCCTTTAGAATCATGGTGTTGGTTAGCTGTTTAAAGGATAATTTAAAAGAATATGTAATTATAACTAAAAATAAAAAAAATCTTACTTTCCCTTCTGTTGCCTTTCTTTTTGAAGAAACTTCTTTCATAAGTTTCGGTATTTCCCTGAAAGTTTAAAAGAAATTTTATCAAATTAAAAATACATGGAATGGTTGTCTACAGTGTCAGTTGCTTAGTGAAAAGCACTATTTTAGACCAGTCTTTCTCAAACGTTTTACCCAGGAGGAACACCTGAAATAATTTTCAGGTCTCAGGAAACCCTGGCAGCTGAGGTGTGGCATGTAAAAGATTCCCACCATTGTGAGCACTAGTTTAGAAAACGATATTTAATTTTTTTTTTCAATCACAATCTTTCATGGACCCTGCAGCACCTTGTTACGGAATCCTAGAGTTTGGCAGAACCCCAGTTGAAAAAACTGTTTTAGAGAACCATAAATTATCAATTCAGGTATCTAGATAGGATGTTGAGAAAATTTATTTAGTAGTTCAACCAAAATAACAAAATGAAGAAGACAGGTTATTTCACCATCAAATAACTCTGTGAGGTAGTTGTATTTTAACGTTTCTACAGAATTTAACACTATGGTTCCAAACTCCTGGTAAAAACTGCATGTAACAGAGTTTTATGCTTTATGTAACTGTTATTCCGTAACTCCCCTTCATGGATCACTGCCTTGTCGTGGCGAAGGGGCTTGCGTAACTCAGTGAAG